TCCATCCCGAGAAAGGTCGTGTCCTGTCTTTTCTCCACATTGGCCTCATGGACGAACCACTGGAACGTTACATGTAACTTAAAATAAAATTGTAAATTTATAATCTGTATGCAAATATGATCATTTTGACGAAGAATTTTGGAAACAATTGTGTAGTATGCAAACAAGACAGATATGTTAGTGAGAATTCAGTGGCAATCCAAAAATCCATATATTTTTGTTTTGTTTTGTATGAGATAGAATTCTATCTTAAACAAGAACTCACAGCTGAGAGATGCTCCTGCTGCTGGCTTATGTAAATATCACTGTGCCTGTCTTTGAAGAAAGTAAAGAAACCACTCTTGGTCTACCTAAACCCTGGTTGACAAAAGGTTATGCATTATGTGCAGATCCTTCGAAAGAGACCTTCCTGTTTAAGCATATATTTCTATTAAATATGTAGAATGGATTTACACCTGAGCTAAATGACATTTGTGCCTTTTCTCTCCTTCTGCTGAAATGACCAGGTTCTCTCTGACACCAGTATTACATATTGAAATCTGATTTAATATGACCTTTTCTCATTTCAGTATGAAAAGTTGTATCTTGCATTTCAAAGAAGCCTAGCCAATAATAACATAAAAGAAACGGGGTAAGTTATCTGTAGCTGCATCATTTAAATTCAAAAAGAGTGATATAGTTATCTAATAGTTATTGCTGCCTCATTAATCTCAATTTCCTATTATATAATGACTAAGTTTTAATACTTACAAAGTAAAAGTTAATTGCAGCTTCATAGTATATTTTTCTTTCTCTGTATTTTGGACTGTAACGCTTAATAGGCTGTTGGTAGAGTGATGTATATTATTAAACAAAGGCTTTAACATTATTACATGCAACACTTTATATTCTTTTACAAAAATGGGGAGAAAATAGAAAACGAACTAACAGATTTCTGAGTGTTTTTTCTGTATGTTAGCAAAGGTTTCTATCCCATTTATCCAATAAGTACAACAGGTATGAACAAGACCGCAAGATGGCAATAAAAATGTATATAAAATGTGATCTTTGTTGCCATCTTGTGATCTTCTAGATTTTTGCAACTCAGGCCCGGTGACTCAATCTCTGCTGATCTATAAAACAGTCTCCTCTGTACTAAATAGCAAAGAATTTGAACTATAATTTAATCGCAAAATTTTGACTTTTTCATCAAGACCCAGGGTTAAGAGACTGAATCTTGACTTGTACCTTCTTTTTAGAGTATTGAAATATTTCACTTTGAAAATAGCTTGTGCCCTTTGCCTTTCCTTTCAAACTGTGCTGTCCTGAGTCATGAAAACTGACAGCTTAAAAACAGGGGTGTCAAACTCAAGGCCTGGGTGCTGGATNTGCTTCAGTATTGGACAAAACCCCTACCGCCCACCATGAAAGCTGGAACGCCCACTAGTGGGCGGTAGGGACCAGGTTGACTACCACCGATCTAGTGGAACATAAGATATGTGGCCTTAAGCATGTAAAATGCATAGTCTGCCATTTCTAATCTCCTTTTCAGTATTTTCGTACTACATTCTTTACTGAAGTAGAGTAGGAACCTAGTATGTATATGGATGGTGGGATATTGACTCCGACATGAAGATGTTTTCTGTTATACCTGCAGAACTTTATATATACATTGAGTGACAAATATTCCAGTATGCTAGTGAAGTGATTATATGATATAGAGGACTAAAATTGAACGTAGTTGTGTGCGTTTTCTTAGATAGATCCAGATATATGTAAAAGTTAGCCTTTCTTTCTACTAGCTGAAAATCAGTTTATGTTATCCATTTTCTACTTGGAAATATTTTTTCAACAATCACGCCCCAGATCTGATTATATGTGTCCATTGACATCAATCAGAGATTGTTCTAAGGATCATGTAGAGAATACAGTATAGCTGAAATAGAATTAAATCAAGTTGAAAATACCAATAAATGTCTGTGTTTATTACTTTATTTGAGTTTTAAAAAATAGAAATTGTGGAATCGAATGAGGAAATAAAAAATACTTGATATATTGCTTCTGAATAATTGTTAATTGTTAATCTAATTATTAATTAGATTTTGTTTTAATAAGGAGAAATATTATTTATATTGTATTCATTTCAAATGTAAAATACTAAAATCAACACTAACATTTTTCTTCAGGCAACATAATCTTCCTTCATATCTATTGTCTTTCCATTAAATATCTAAAATTTTGGTGCAATAAATAATGAAAATGGGAATGGATGTTAAATATAGTAGCTTCTCAAGTGTGCCATTCCGATGGACCGAAAATAATAGAGTGTGGATAACCGTCTATTGAGGATACCTAGAGTCTGGATAACGATCTTTGGATATCTTGCATTGTGCAAAGGCCTGGTTTAATTGCTTAGATACCCTACAAGTCCCCTTCATTCCTCCTGGAAATTGGCTAAGGAGAAATCTCTTAAAGCCATAATCTCTGAGTTGAATTGCTATGGGGTAATAGAGAATAATTCTGAAATACAAGGCACTCTTTCTTTTAAAAAAATGTTAGTGCAATAACAGCTATTCCTANGTCACATGGGCGGCAAGCCGCTCCCATCCGGTCACATGGGTGGCAAGCCACTCCCACAATGGAGGCCACACCCACAGAGTGGGTTCGAACAATTTTTGAAACCCACCACTGGTATGTATGTATGTATGACTGGGTGGTTTTTTCCTTTCCATAGCAACACACTTCACACTAGCTCATAGCAATAATTTTAGTTCTATTTCTTTATTGTAGCTTTTTCTCTGAGAGAGTGCTGGAGGCAAATAATCAGATTGTTTTTGAGGCCAAGAAAAATAAAAGTTCATATATGGATCTTGGGAAGTTACTATAGAATTCCAATCTAATTCAGTCAACAGTGTATCTTTCCTTCATCCTGAATTCAGAAATGGCTTCTATTATATATTGTAATTGACCCAAATTTGTGCCAGGTGAACTGTTTGTAGACTAGATGTATATTTTATGATATGACACAGATTTGTAAATTGTTCATTTTGACTTTGCCACAATTATCTAACCCAGGTTAATTATGGGGAGGCAAATGCTGCCTTTTACAATCAGGATATGATGATACCAGCTAAAGAACTTTATCTTTCTAATTTAAATGGAAAGCACCAAGAAAATATAAATAATATTACAGCAATCAATATGAAGATTGTTGTAAGCAAGGCAGATAGCTTCCCACATCATATTTTATCATGTAAATTTTGTTCCCAGCCTGCATCCAGTCCATAATCAGTTTTTAAAAAATTGCCTTAGGAAGCAATAAAAGCAGAGTCTACCCATTTGATATATATGATATTTAAAACAATTAAAGTGTTATACAATTGACTTTCTTCAGAACTCTTTTTCCCATATTGTTGCCCAAATTGATTCAACTTGTTTGATTCTGCTTCATTGTTCCAGAAATATCTCTCTGTTTCTTGGCAACCCAGTGAAAAAACTAGGTTTTCATATCTTTTTCTTTTGCACCAATGTAAGAATTCATGTGCCTGCAGGTTATTATGTCATCAATTACTGTGTAATTTGATAAGATGTCCAAAAAATAGATATCAAAAACTGAGAACAGAGAAATTATGCTGGTTCTTTAATATAATGCAAAGTATAATATAATACTATTTGTCTCCTTTCCCTTTTTCCCTTCTTTTGTTGCAGGCTAAGAAAGAAAGTTATTTTGGAAGTTGATTTTACAGTCATAAGTAATTTGCCAAAGGAATTCCTACTGTTAGCTTTTTCTTCTGTTGTTGGTTAATGGAGGTGGCACGTTAAGCACAAAATAAAGATATACACAAAATTTTATAACAGTGATACAGTATGTTCTGCACAAAACTGAAAGAGCTGAAAATCACTGGTGAATGCCCTTTCTCCTTGCTCAACCAAAGTTGCATTCCAGATGAAAATGAGGAAGAATGTGCTGAAGTGCCCAACAGTTCTAAGGCTCCTTTGCCCATCTGCAGAGAGAAAGTCCCACATGGAAATCTTCCACAAAGGAAAATCAGCAGGAACAGAGTATTTCTGCATACTTTGGCTGAGAGCATTTACAAGCTCATCTCTCCAGAAGTAAGTTGCTTGGAATATCAATTGGAAAATCCTGTTGTTGTTTTTTTTAAAGCTTTCTAGGCTATTGGAAACATGTTGATACAGATACCCCAAATATAATACTTTGATTTATCAGTTACTTAACAAAGTTGACACTGGCTAGCAACCTAGCAAAACTCAGGGTACAGAATTAGTTCTGTCATTACAGCAAAATTTAAATGGACCTATTATATATATATATATATATATTTCAGGGCCCACTCTTTTTATAGCAATAGAAATGGGTTCCTAGAGTTTTGACTTTGTCTTCATGGAGGCATCAATATATGCTGAGCTAGAGTCGAGGTGGCGCAGTGGTTAAATGCAACACTGCAGGCTACTTCAGCTGACTGCAGTTCTGCAGTTCGGCTGTTCAAATCTCACCGGCTCAAGGTTGACTCAG